GAAGCCGGCTTCCCGGCCAATCAGAAAGCCAAGTGCTGCGTCATTACTCGGCGCCCGGCTTCCATTATTGGCCGGCAAGCCGGCTCCATGCTTCTCGTCACATAGTGACAAGAAGCATGGGGACGGCTTCCTTACTAATAGGGAAGCCGGGTGGCGAGTCTTTACACGCTGCCCGGCTTCCCAGCTAATCAGGAAGCCAGGTGGCGAGTCATTACACGCCACCTCGCTTCCTGAATGGGACTTTCGGTACTCAGTATTTGGTATCGGCGAGTACCAAAAACAAAATATTGGTACCCTTACTCGGTACCAAAATACCGGTATGGGTGCATCCCTGCAGTTTACAGTAAGTCCGTGTATTCATAAAAGATGTTTCTATGTATCATTAAAAATCAGTTGTTCAGCTCAGGGCAGAGGGGGGTTGCAGACACTGAGCAGTTGGTAAGGTGGCTGAGTCTGGCAGCAGCATTCATGATAGATCGAAGGGAGGATAGTCTGTGTAGAGGTAGGCCAATGAGGAGGGAGCTGCAGTAGTCAAGGTGAGAGATAACAAGGGAGTGAAAATGTATCTTGTTGGTGTCATTGGTGGCTACTTTTGTTCCCCATAGTCCGTGTGTGTTGTAAAGTAGCCACCGCTCCATGCTAGCTAGAGCTGCAACAGTTAATCAATTAAGTCGATTAAAATCGACGATCGAAAACTTTGTCAACGTTTTCGATCGTCGATTCGTCGGCTATTGATTGATTAGCCTGTTCGGGGCTCCACACACGGCCTGAGCCGCACGTACGTCACACGCCCACTGAAGCCACGCCCACCGCACAGGAGACTGAAGCCGCCGCACGCCGCTGCCGTGAGCTCTCTCACTCGCCGCTATCCCGCCGACAACCGAGGGCGCACGATTTGAAAGTAAGTCAGGACCCTTTGAACTGTACCCCCCCACCCACACACATATCCGCTAGGGAACTACAAATCCGAGCATGCAATCATTGTCCCTGTACAAAACCCCCCCACATACACACATATCACCCAGGGAACGGCAATATCTGGTTGTTGTACAGGGGCAATGAGGGCATGCTGGGACTTGTAGTTCCCTAGCTGATATGTTATGTTATGAAGCTGTGTTATTTACTGTACACCTGAAAGTACTACAATGCCATTATAGAACTAAGAATAGAACATTTAAGTTTATCTATGTTTTATTCTACGTTCTATAATGGCATTGTATTTTTATAAACTTTTAAAAAAAGTTTATATTTATTTTTGTTTATTCCTTTTTTATTAAATATTTTTATTTAATACTTTACTTTTAGGGGCTTCGGGGAAATATTGGGGGTCTAAACAGACCCCTGATATTTCCCTTTTAAAATAGAAAAAGAGATTGAGAACACAAAGTCCTCAATCTTTTTTTCTGCATCCCCTGTTATCAATGAACAGGAATCCTCTATACTGAGTGT